TCCGGCGGGTGAACAAAGGCCTCCTGTAGCGAATCAATGCGTTTTTGTAAGAAAAATATCCATATTCAAAACGTAATAATTACTTTAATCTAGCTTGCGCCAACAGTTGTACACGGAATGAGGTCAGCGCTGCACATGCGCGTCTCGTGAAAACCAACACTTGTTAACAGGAGCAAAGGAAGCAAAGTTTCCTTACTTTAGCAAAAGAAAACCAGTCTCCTCTTGGCTTATATCGAAATCCTCCGACATTCTTCTTTACAAATCCTCGTTTTGTACTTCTAATTAGTCACCGTTGTTTTGTTTTGATCTCTCCGCTGCGCTTCTGCGTCTAAAGTAAGGAAACTTTGCTTCCTTTGCTCCTGTTAACAAATGTTGGTTTTCACGAGACTCACTGGCGTATGCGCAGCACTGACCTCATACGTCATCCTCCCGGAGCTGCTTCCATGTAGGACTGTTGGCGCAAGCTACATTAAAGTGATTATTACGTTTTGAATATGGATATTTTTCTTACAAAAAAGCATCGATTCGCTACAGGAGGCATTTGTTCACCCCCGGAGCCGTGTGAGACACTTTTTTATGGATTTTTATTTTACTTCTTTTGAACTGGTTCATGCAACACCCGCTGAGTGGCATTAAACAGCTTGAAAGATCAGTTTAGACCCAAATAATAGTTTTTATCCTTACCTTTACACCAATCTTCCTTCCAGTCCTTTCTATCAATAGTCAATGATAAATCATCAATTGTTATTGCATCTAGTTTTGTCAGAGGTACGTTATTACCGCCTTTGGGGACTCTATATCTCAACATGCTATTAATTGCAATATAAGCAGGCCCATGTAATACTTTCCACTTTTGATTTCTGTCCACTATTCTCACTACTCCTCCAGCTCCGTAACTCATCTCATATCTATTCGCCTGTTTACTCTTCTTAAATGTCCAGGGGAGCGGAACTATTCCGTTGCTCCAATAACATAAAACTGCTGCGATTTGATTTATGGTGAGATGATCGTATCCTTTAGAGCATTTTTCGATATAAGCACCACATTCATTTCCGGTCAGGCCAAAGACGCCATCGTCAAGAAAAATCAAATTACTTCTAAATACGCCTTCCTTGTCTCTTTTTCTGTAAAGGTTTAATCTTTTTAAATGTAACCTTCTTTTTATACTTAAATTCTCGCTTGTTTTATTTCCAGTAAATGGGTCTGTCCCGTTAAGAAAATCATCACAGTCCATTTTCTCTCCGTCTTTGTCGCACAGATTCGCATAAGAAAAATCACCATAATCTTTTTTCGT